CAAACGCATATTCACGAATTAAGACGCAGTCCACAACAATTGCGTCTCGCCTCAAATCCTATCGCGAAGAAATTCACTGTCTATCAAAATTGTAACCAACTACGACAACAAGGTTTAAAGGAAGTTTTCAATCGTGACAGTTCACAGTTACTGAGCTTACTTCACCGCAACAGCTGGAACTCTCCTCCGTCTGCCATAGGAGGCGAGCTCTGCCATGGCGCTTTCAAGGAGACTGTGGAAGCAGCAACTTCGAACGCCTCCATGACCAAAGTTCACCAGCTCGCCGCGAAGTGCCGGGAACCTCAACCGTAACTGCAATCCATAGCCGCGGGACAAGTCCAAGCTACTGAAATGGTTGAAGCGGCAACAGAAAGAGGAGAGCGGCGGCGGAGAACCGGAGCGAAGGAGATAGCAGGTGTTGACAGCTCGAACGGTCATCATCGCGCAGCGGAGGAAGGAAAGAAGTTGGCTCAGGAGATAGTTCAATCATCAAGGATTCGAAGTTGCTGGAAGACAAAAATGAAGATTAAAGTCTTGTCCAGACCAGAGTTTGTGGGAGGAAGAAGAGTGTGGCCCATAAATACCCAAAAGCTCGCTCTGGGCAATTTCTTGTTCAAGAAGAACCACAACGGCCCCGGCCTTGACGACCATTATCCAGCCAACTAATTGGGCCGGACTCAATCCGGTGGTCATTCACGTAAATGATCCTCCAATTCATGTAAGGATGGCTATTTGGTCCGGGTTTTTTGGTTTTACCCGAAATCAAACCGTATAAATCGGACCGAGACTGGACCGGAACCGGATAGTAAACAATCTAATTCAATCTTTGGGCTTAGATTTGAGGGGAAAAACCGTTCGAGACTGGATAAGAGAGCTCAACACCCAAAACTTAAGGGTAATTTGCATAAACGGTCACAAACCTTTGCACTTAGTACAAAACTTAACCAACTCCTCACCCTTTCAGGCCTTAGGTCACTCAAATCTCCACAAGTTCAATATAAAATCAAGACCGAATTGGGACCGGACCGGATCAAGACCGGACTATATCCAATCCAATCTTTGGTCCTTATATTTTCAAAAAGACCAGACTGGACCGGATCAATTTGGGTAAATTTAACCGGACCAGACTGCAGTGGCGGAGGTAGCATTTCAAACCACCCCTGTCCTCTTTTCATAACTTTAATATCTAAGTATTTAATAAATGAATTATTTAACAAAAAATAATTATATCCAAATAATTCATTCATAAATAAAAAATTACTAATTATACTATCATACTTTTTAGAAACAACTACGAAAGAATTTCATATAGTGAAAGAAGCGCAAAAACATTCGTTATCTACACTATTATATAAGTCTCTTTCAATGTATCTTACTAAACAAGTATTAGCAAAATGGTCGCCAAATCGACTTGGAAACTTGTTCTTAATATAACTCAAAGCTGAAAATGCTCTTTTTACACTTGATGTTGTAATTGGTAGATCAAAACTAGTGGGATTGCCGTTGTCGCTAGACAATTTCAGGGTTGTTGGGGACAGATCGAATAGGCATAAGGAGAAAAGAGACCCGATTAGTTCTTTATTGCAATTGGAATTTCGTTTCTTGTATAATAAATTAATTTTATATCAATTTTGGACAAGTAAGGAGTTGTGTTGTAGTGACAAAATACTCCAATACTACCTGTGCGTGTTGTGTTCCATCACCAATATAATAATATATGGCGTATTTTTGTTCCACCGAAATTTATCCTTGTCCCGGGACAAGGCCAAAAGGCCCTGCCTCCGCCACTGCCAGACTTATAGCCACCCCTATGTAAGAACTTTCAGGTTGTAATTGCATTATTTGATGTGAGTTATTTGGGCGAGAATAACTCTTTTGGGTATAAGAAAATGAAATGAAATCACACAAAAAAAAGGAGATGAAATAATAAAATAAGTCATCATTATAAAAAAAAATTCTTTTACAATTATGATATTTTCGCTCAGGTTTTGTTTTGTCATGGCTAATGTTCTCCACAACTATATTTTTCTTCATCAATCCCGATTCTTATGGTCCAGCTCACCAATCGAAATTTGACATATGTTTTAGGATTAGTTAGACACTGTTGATTTTGTCGATGTTTTTAGTGTCCATCAATATAATTGCAAGTCATACTGATTGCTAAAATTAAGCATCCACACAACAATACTACGGGAGGAATGGGTGTTGAACTCAGAGTAGAAAGGTTGAGATTAGGTTTGGGAGGAAAGTGGCGGGGTAAAAAATTGTGTTTGGATTTGGTAGCAAGTAAAGTTCAACTACTTCAGGTGAAGGGAGAGACGAGCGAGTTGGTGAGGGTAGTGATCGAATTGAGGAGGGTATTGAAAGACATGGAAGCAAAACTAAAGTAGTTGAAAAGAGAGAGAAGTGAATGATGACGAGGATATTAATGAAAAATGGAGAGGGTATTGAAGGGCATAGAAGTGAACTGGAGCAGGTGAAGGCAGTCAAGGAGGAGATGAGTATATTGATGGAATTGGAGATGAGGGTTGGTTTTACCGAGCTTATTACAACTACTCCTAAGAAAGATGAGTTGGTCAAATACAAAAAGAGGATTGAGGAGTTAAAGAGAGAGTTGGCAAGAACCCCAACTCGAAGAGAAATTGAGGGCCACAACGAGAATGTCCATCAAAGTAGCAGAAATAGAGCTGCATGAGGAGGATTAGAAAGTGAATTTTGGGTTGAAACATATGCCTCTTGAGATTGAAGATAGAGGGGATAAAAAGTTGGTTATACAACAAAGAGTGATGGCTATATAATCTTTAGGTTTATGATTGTTGTAGCTATCACTACCTATGTCTATCTTAAAACGAGGAATTATTGATTGATTTACTAAAATTAAGGTTTATTCTCTATTCAAACTACTGGAACTGGTAGATAAGGAGTATCTAATTTTGTGCCTTATTACTTTGATCACATCTATTAGTATATTGGAGGTAACCCTAATTTTGTCTTTTGCTCTCAAGTTTTGATGGTCTCATTTTAGTTGAGTTGGTAGTATATGATTGACTTGAATCAACAATTCTTCATTTTTTAAAGGTGAGCATTGGACCCTTTGTGTAGGATTGTGAGATTTTAGTTTTAGTTTCTAATTATCCATGGGTCGTGTGGGAATTTCAATAAGATTTATATACTCTATCTTTCCTGAACCAATAACATTTTAACAAGGGCTTAATTATCATTATGAAATAGGATTTATGAGTATATTTTTATATCTTATATTCTTAAATGATGATGGTATTTCATCAAATATTCTACATATACATTCATTCTTTATATATCATCTCGATCGAAGGCTGTTAATAAAATTAAGCGATTTGATAAAGTTAAACAAAATATAAAATATAAATACTCAAATATGAACATTCAGACCAACGGACCTTGTTATAAGCTAGTAATTCTTAAATGCCACGTTTACGTAAATTGAAAATCCAAACTCCCTTCTTCTTTTTCGATTCCCATATCGTGTTGAATTCTATACCTTTCAATTTTCTCATCCAAAATACCTTTGGAATTTGTCCAAATCCAATGTTTTTTATGACAAAAAAGTTATATAAAAAAGTGATATCAAACTCCTTCTCCAAGCACTAGCACTCGCAATCGGCGCCGATCAACGTCTCCGTCCTCACGTCCACGATGGCCAGAAATCCGTCGTCCCCGAGCATTGCAGATTCGCCGTCTCCAAGCTCTACAAATCCACCCCCGACGAGATTTCGGAGTGGGTGTGTGAAGAGAGGGATTCAAAGTATGAATCGACGATGAAAGTTGCGGGTTTTGGAGTGGGTGTGCAGGGAGAGTTTGCAAGGAGAGTTTAGAGTTTTTGAAGCGCGCTTGGCAGGAGATAAGTAACAGTGGCGACAATTTTGGGGAAGGAGACGTGGTCGGAGCTGATGACCTCGACGGAGAAGAATCATCCTCCGCCATGACATTTTTTTTATTGTAATAATGAGGTAGAAATTATTAAACATTATATTTTATTATTTTTTAATTGTCATGTCACTCATTTGACGGTCAACCATAAGAGATAGTTGACCGCCATATCAGCAAAAGTTAACGGAGACTGATGACCGATGATCAAACTTGAAACTGTTAACCTAATTTAAGTTACGACGAGTGGAATAAAGTAATTCTAGCGACTAACTTGAACTTTACTAGTAATTCAAATAACCGAAATTGCAAATGGAAAAGGTTGCGGAAGGTTGAATCAAGTGACTGAAATCCCTTCCCACACACACCCCTATGCAATCTGTAACCATGTGAGTACCATGTGAGGACCCACGTTGTCAAATACGAATATCCAGCTTTGCGACGATCTATCTGGATATGTAATGCGGGGGAATAATTCTTCTTGACGCCGTGGCGAATCATATTTGATTGAATCAAGGTCGGCTGCGCAAGGCGGTGAAGAATTAGATGCCTACACCAACTGCCATGTCCTGCTCCTGCCGAACCATTTATGTGTCTATATATGTATAGAAGAAAGCAGGCTACCGGCGTTCCTGTGGCGATCGGCCCGGTCCCGGTCGACGTTAGAGAATTCTTTACCTCGAGTTCCTAGACTTTTCACAGCTTTACAATTTGGCTATGTTACTTTTCAAAGTCATACTAGTTGGTCCTAAGATTGGTTTGGTTTTTCTCACTCAAAGATAAACCGGTTTATCCTAAATGGGGGGATAATATTGAGTCGGTTTTGTTGCAGATCATTCCCATGTTCATTTTAAATTTCTAAAGGACGTTTTCATTCCATCCCTGCGATTTTTGAATCCTCACAGACAAGAATTGAGTCTGAATGGTAGAAATCGAATATTGAACGTTATAAACTAACTACAGTCTACAAATAGCGTGAGAAACACAACATGTAGGGTGAAACCGTTGTCAAATCTAAACTCAGAGGAGTAGAGCGGAGTTAAACCTTGAGCATAAAGCCGCCGCCTAATTGGAATTCAGAACTTTTGTGGAACTGCTGCCTCACTCAACGCGGATACACGCCGGTGACCGGTCGTCGTTTTGCCTTCGTTCGTTTCCCCCACGCTGGAAACTTCTTCCATTTTCTCCCCACCCCCAAATAAAGCGCCAACGAGCCGGCCAGCCACAACGGCACCATCTCTCTCTCTCTCTCTCTCTGTTCGTTCCGCCAGCCTTTCCCTTCGCTGTTTCTAATTTTTCTTTTTTCCTAAAAAAATAATACATAGCTAGCTACTTACTCATCATATAATCTCTCTCTAATCTTCCGCTTTTTGGACGCGATTTATAATTGAATTTGAATCGGATTCTTGATTCTTCCTCCTGTCTCCCTCCCACTCTCTCTCTCTCTCTCCATCTCCCTCGTCGGAACTCCTTACTCGTAGCTTCCGAGAGGGCTGGGAGGTAGTTTGGGTGTAGGGGTTTTTCTCCCAAAACTATGGCTCCTAATGATCCCAAGCAAAGCAGTGGCGGATTCTTCTCCTCCATAGCTTCCGGCCTATCCAACATCGGCAGCGCCATGTCCAGATCAGTCGGGTACCGAGATCTGTTCTCTTTCTCTTATCGCTCCTTCATGATTTGACTTGCTATGAATTGCTTGTTGCTGCTGTTCCTTGCTTCTGCAGCTGCTCTCGATGATTCTTTTCGCTTTTTTTTCTTCCCCCGGAGTTGTTCTGTTCCCCTATTCTATCAAAGTATTTGAGTAGTTCTCTATTCGATCCGAGTCTCAATTGTCAAAATTGTGTATGTTATGTTGCTATATTGAGCTCTCCCACTACGTCCTTGAGATTCCTTAGTTGCCAGATATCGGATTTTGGCGATTGTTGTTGCTGGTCTATTAGGTTACTGCGTTGTATAGTCTTGCCGACTTGAGGAGTTTCTTGTGTTCGTCGAAGGATTTGACTGATTGATGAGTTTAATTGCTTCTATTATCATCCAGTTTAGTTCGTCGAAGGATTTGACTGATTGATGAGTTTAATTGCTTCTATTATCATCCAGTTTAGTGAGTTACGAAGGGCTCGAAGTTATTAACCCGGAAGGAGGAACTGAAGATGCCGAGGAGGAAGCAAAGAGAGGGAGATGGCAACAGGAGGTAACTCCTTTTTTTCAGCACTCAGCCATGCAATTCTGGCAATATCAATCTCTGCAATCTTGGCAAATATGTTTCTTCCACATTCTATGCTGTTTTCGTTTTTGCTGATAAAGTAATATTGTTGCAAGTCTCAACCATGAATCGGCTCGTTCTGGTAATGATACGTATGCCTAGGCTTTAGAAAAGTAGTCAGTTACTGAGCTGGAATCACCAGGCACTCTGTATCTGCTGGCTTGATCTGAATTCTGGCAGGTTGGAACGTACTGTTAATCCTTTTCCGTTTCTTCTTATTTTTTTCTTCAGGAAAGGGATAGCTTTTGGAGGATGATGCAGAAATATGTAGGCTCTGATATCACATCAATGGTCACTCTTCCTGTAATGATCTTTGAGCCAATGACAATGGTTCAGAAGATGGCGGAGGTCTGCTTTCTTCCACAAACTTAAGTTCATCAAATTCTTGTTACTGATTCTGTTTTATCGCCTTATGTACTGAGAGTTTGATGTTTGTTCACAGTTGATGGAGTACTCCCACCTGTTAGATCTCGCAGATGAATGTGATGATCCCCACATGCGTTTGGTATATGCTGGTGTGAATCATATATCCCCTTCCTCTCTTTCTATTCATGGATCCACCTTTCTGGTCTATAGCACATGAGACCTGATATTGTATCACATTGCAGCATCATTCTTCATATCTGTTTACTATGCCTTTCAACGCACGTGGAAGCCGTTTAATCCAATTCTGGGAGAGACTTATGAACTTACAAATCATGGTGGCATTACATTCATATCAGAACAGGTGAGTTCTCCCTCCCTGAACAATGATTTCATACAACTGAAAGTTAATGTTGAATTATCTTCATTGCCGCGTATATGATATATGACTTGTATTCTTGTTACTGTCATTCGTCTTGATTCACAGGTCAGCCATCATCCTCCAATCAGTGCCGGGCATGCTGAAAATGAGCATTTCACTTATGATATAACTTCCAAGGTGAAGACTAAATTTTTGGGGAACTCAATCGAGATCTATCCTCTTGGAAGGTATGGTTGCGAGTAGCATCCCATTCACTTCGCCGTTTCTCTGAATAGACTTATTTTTGTTCTAATTCCAGACTTGCCTACTTGATTATATATCTTGATTGCAATGTTCATGTTAGTCTATGTTGACAGATAAAGGTAGTCATGTTCTGATTATATGTCTTGACTGTATGCACTTCATTTTCCAAAAAGGGGATGTTCTGAACCCAAGTTTTGGACCGTGGCTACTCCAAATTGGTCGGTAGATTGATTGATAGGGGAAGTTTGGATTGCTTACTTTGCTGTTTGTTATTAAGGGTATCTAACTATGGTACCAGTCGACCAGATACCAATTTCTGTAAAATGCTCGGCTATGATCTTCTCTGCACTGTTTTTACTTTTTAGGAATAAACTATATTTGGTTATTTCTGGATTCTGCTCTTATCTTGCCTTAGTTTGTCAAGAATCATGTTAACCACTGCAATTCCTCGATGTTTTCATTTTCACTGCTGTGGTGTTGTTATAGCTTTAATCGTAGCCTTCCATAAAATTAGAAATCTTTAGTCATAGTATTTGGCTATGATAATTTAGATAAGAGTTTTATGAATGTTGTATGTTCAGAATATTCTGCACAATTTAGTTATTTCAGCTAAGAAATTGTGATGTATATTGCAGGTCACGTGTGACCCTTAAGAGGGATGGTGTGGTCCTTGATTTGGTGCCTCCCCTGACAAAAGTTAGCAACTTAATCTTTGGACGAACATGGATTGATTCGCCAGGGGAGATGGTGCTGACTAACATTACTACTGGGGACAAAGTGGTGCTATACTTTCAGCCTTGTGGTTGGTTTGGGTAAGATACTGTTTTCATATGCTATGCTTATTCATTCTTTTGTTTTTGGAATAAGGTACTGCGCATGCATGCCTTTCTTGAAAGCCAATTTTGCAGTTCAAGGCTTGTTAATTTGGCCAAACTCTTTTTCTTGGTTTATATTTCTAAATCACTGATGGCACTATCATGAACATTTATCTTTGGTATTGGTGTGTGCATTGCATTAGGGTTGCAATATGTTATATTCATTGACTGGTTTTAAATTCCTGCAGAACTGGCCGTTATGAAGTGGATGGCTATGTGTACAATGCCGATGAGGAACCCAAGATATTGATGACTGGGAAATGGAATGAAGCCATGAGTTATCAACCCTGTGACCTTGAAGGAGAACCTCGTGCTGGTACTGAGCTACAGGAGGTAGGTTCTGGTTTCCAACGGATCATAAAAAGTTTGTCAGTGTGGCGAATGCAAATCTATTTAAACTTCTGATCGAGACAGAATATGCCTTTTAACTTTAGTACATAATTTTCATCTGGATGATGTATTCTAGACTAATTCTCTGAATCCATCCTTTCTGTGTTGAACTTTGCGCTGGTTAAGGTTGAGGTTCTAGGTAACTGATATTGCTGACATTTTGGTTTTCTTTTGTGGTACTTGGTGCTTGTCCTTTCTGCAGCCTATTAAATCATGAACATTTTTTTTTAAGTTGTTGTGATATCATCCTGAATCCCTAAAGCGAATGCTTCATTCTTGTCTTAGTTGTGTACCAAGGATAAGTTGTCCATTGTGTCAACTGTCAAGTCTATGTGCAAGATGCGAGTCAATACTGAACATTTGCTGCCGACTGTTTGAGTTGTGGTTGTGGTTAAGATAACATTTTGATTATGGGTTTATGAACTTTTTTATACCAAGTAAATTGAACAGCTCGTGATGTTTTTTTGCACTTTTCTAGGTGTGGAGAGTTGCAGAGGCGCCCAAAAATGACAAGCATCAGTACACATATTTTGCACACAAGATGAACAGCTTTGACACTGCTCCCAAAAAGTTATTGCCCTCTGATTCCCGTCTACGCCCCGACAGATATGCTCTAGAAAAGGGCGATCTATCAAAATCCGGTGCAGAGAAAAGCAGGTTAGTGTATATAGAATAATGCACGCAGGGTGATCTTCAACCCATGTCTTTTGTTGACAAAATATGGAGGTGTGGGGTGTAACCATTGTTGTTAATTCTTATTTCAGCCTGGAGGAGAGACAGAGAGCAGAGAAGAAACTGAGAGAGGCTAAAGGAGAACAATTCACTCCCAAATGGTTTGATCAAACCAATGAAGTCCACCCGACTCCTTGGGGGGAGTTGGAACTATACCAGTACAATGGCAAGTATACTGAACACCGGGCTGCAATCGACGCCTCCTCAGATACCGTCGAAGAAGTAGCCGACATCGAATCCTTGGAATTCAACCCATGGCAGTACCCTAATGAGAGCCCTTAGGAAGTGTAAGTTCATCGACAGTGTAACATATAGTTGTCCTTCTCCAAGTGTTTGATTTTTACTGAAAGTTATTGTGTGTGATTTGAGAGTACTGTTACAGAATTATGTTGGGTTATCATAGGTTAAAGCTTTCGTTTGTCCATCTCGGTTTCGTAGGTGTTCCCCCTTGTTGTGAAGTAATCTTATGGCTTTCGTGTAAGTACTTGGTAAAGTTGCCTCGATCTTTAGTTTGAAATACAAGTTTCTGGAGCACATATTTTTTTTTTTTTTTTTGCATTTCTACTTTTAGAGTTTAAAATGAATCAGACATTTCACATATTTAACATTTTGGTCAATCTTTCGTTCTATAATTTTATGGTCTCAACTATGCATTAAAGTTACGAAATTGATCAAACCCGAGATCGAGATTTGGCCGTTATTTTGGAAGGTCAAATGCGTTGACTAACGGTTAACGTGCCATATTATTGTCAAGTAAGCATAGATCCCTTAAAATTTTTGAATTTTGACTTTTTTCACTTATTTTCATTTATCCTTTTTATTTTGAACAAAAGAAGAAGAAAAAAAAGAGGAATTAAAAATGTTGGGTCTCCTTCATTAACTCTATTATCCATAATCCCTAACCCCAACCACACAAAAAAGCAGCCCCTCATTCTCGAGGAGCTGTCCTAATTTTTGGACTGGGCAAAACTTGGAGCACAACTGTAAACCAAGAATCATTCTCGAGGCTGTGGCTTCATACAACACCTGGATATGACATGCTTTCTTTGGCCCGCCTGGGTCGAACAACGACATCAATATTCCGGGGACGTCTCCGGTTTTGACTGTATCCTCAAAGGCATCGCTCCACAAGTACGATTTGAGGTAAACGGTCATACCTATGAATTATGATCAATGTTATTATTTGGCTGATGATATTTATCGTTCATGGTCAACTTTAAGTGAAAATATTTAACGATCCAAGCTCAAACAAAGAATCCTTCAAGAAGCACATCGAAAAGACGTAGAGCGGGCCTTTGGAATTCTTCAAGCTAGATGGACAATTGTTCATGGCCCTGCGAGATCTTGGGATGTTGCCACACTTAATGATATAATGTTGGCGTGCATTATATTGCACAACATGATAATCGAGGATGAGTAGGTTGATTCTGACGATGAGATGGAAAATAGTCTTGATTGTGAGGTCCACGACCAATAACCAACTAATGTCGACAGAGATATTTCAACCCTAACTGAGTACTTGGCTAGGAATAACAGGCTTCATGCTACGCCAACACATCATGGGCTTCGTCAGAACTTAGTCGAGCATATTTGGAACTTGCATGAAAATAATTAGTCATTCTAGTTGCTTGGTATCGATGCTGCGATGATTTGTAATTCAATTAAAGTTGTAGTTGGTGACAATTTGTTTTGTAATTCAAGAACGCATTTTCCATTTCAATATATTTTTCATTCTTATATCGGTCTAGTGTAAAAACAACCGATGTGTTTAGCCGGTCAAGATCATCGCTGAGTGAAGGATACAAAAATTGTAGTCCTCGTCTCGAGAAAATTATTATGGCACAATCTAAATGCTATATAAAATATACAAGGTAACATATCCTAGTATATAAGCTCCCACCAAGCCCCATCAGACTCACTTCTTTTGTCATAATTAACTAGATAATTGGCCCGAGCGTTGCTTCGGGATCTTGTACAATTTTATTTTTGAGATTTTTATATGTTGTGATATTAGTTTTGTAAATGAACCTTTTATACTTATGGTCTAAATCATTGAATATAATGAACTATGCAATAATTTGATTGGATGTAATACATATGTGATATATAGGAAAATGAAGTTTGAGTTATAGAATGAATAAACCTATTTCGTTTTGGTGATATTTTTTTAAATATTCGATTGCAATTATGATTGTACATACAATCTACAATGCTGAATTAAAAAAAGTTGGCCGTCATGTGTTTTTTTTTCTTCCACTTCTCTGATACATTTCAAATTCGAATGTGTTGGACGAATAAACTATTATTAAAAGCTTAGTCCATAAATATGTTACACAAATGTTAAACTATGATAGTTCTTCTCAAGTAAAACTCAAAATACATATTTACATGATAATTACTTAATGAGTTTATAGTTTTCCTAACTTGACGTTTTTTTAAGAGAAGACTATCTATTACCTAAATTTCAGATAGCATATGCCATTCACAACTTTTGTCTAAAAGTGAACCTATTGTTTTCTTAATCTTAATCCACAAATCCTCTTTCTGATGATATAACTCCATAAGTTCCCTTCCCTTCTCTTGCATTATTCACCAAGACCAATGACATCCCACTACACGTGGAGAAGATGAATAATTGATGGCAACAAATGTCACTTTATTAGCTCCATAACCTTTTCTCTTTTCCATTGTTGTTCTCACTGTTGTCATTGTTCTGCTTCCTTTGATACTTTTAATCTACAACTGCATATTGCAACTCCATTCCCATGCAGTTCTCTTTTAATCACTTCTAAGTCTCCCTACCTTCAAAAAATTAGTAGCTTACCTACCCTTGATCTCTTTTATTGAGATTGAATCCATAACTTGGACCACCCCCACCTCCCAACTTGTACCTGATTGGCTTTCTAAATTTGGCCAACATCAAGAGTTCTAAATGAATTAAAGAGAGAAGAGCTGCTCCTGGTATTGATCGGTTGCTCCTGATCCCTCTCCTCTTCATCTTCATGTCGACCAACTTGTGGGGGCTTCTTCCAAGTTTCCAATTACTCTCTTCTTCTAATTACTTGCCCTCTTTTTATGATAACGCAATCCCATCAACAGGAAAACAGAGTGCCCATAGTTCGTCAATTATCCACAATGTGAATTGAAAGGCGTTGGTACCGTTTGGGGAAGGGACCATGAAGCAGCTGGAGAATTCATTATTCAACTACCACAGTCAATTAATTGAACATGCAACCCACTGAACAGTTACTTACATCGATGAGGTTGAGGGATCGATTGGAATCGGTGATGGCCGTGAAACTGAAACCTTGGAATTCCCCTTCTCTTCCCCTGCCTCGCTGATTCTATGATACATTCAATGATTGTTGCCAAAACTGTTGCGTCAAAGTAAAGAGGCACGGAGCGGCAGAAGGAGTGGGTAGAATGGAACACTGATGCTTCGATTCACCGGCTCCAAGGGATCGACAAAATCCATATCGAGCCCTAGGAATTTTGCCGCTTCGTTGCGCTGGAGGTACTGCTGCCATTATCGAATAATCCATCTACGGAACGCCGGGGCAGAGGGGGGAGAGTGGGATGCCGGTTCTTCGAGGTGGGGAGAACAGGACATCGACGCTTCAATGGGATCGACAGAGGGGCATAAGGCATGGGGTAAAGGGGATGAAAATCGAAATGAATTGCTTCTTAGATCTTGGTGTCTGGCTTTCTGTGCTTGCTTATTCCAGATCTGAGAGAGTAGAACTCCAACCCTTCTCTGCTTACTATCACTTGATTCCACCGGGAAGCGAAACAACTTGCATAGCCGCCTGGCAGTCTACGCGGGGAGACCAAAGTAAGAAACGGTGGGGAAAAGGGTCGCATAAGGCTTACGGTACACCCGACCACAGCCTACTGGACCCCTTAAGTATGCTTGCGGCTTTATTATACTAACTAATAATATGAGAAAATATCACATAATAATCATTCATCCAATAGACATAGATAATATTTGCATACGCGTATTCGGTCAGTAGATTGTCTTGCATATTGAAACTTTTTCTTACAAATTTCATTACCATATTAGTAGGATCAAAATAAGTGAGCAATAACTAACTTTTTTTTTTTTGTGTTGGCATGATATGGGTAACTAACTTCTATGGCTATAACTACTCCAGTTTCAGGAAAAAAAGAAACATGTATAGCTAACAATGCGGGTTTTGACTTTTGACACCTAGCCGTGCATCGACTGCAAAGTGTAAAAACTTGAATCGCGTCTCTTAAATTTCCAAGCTTTTTCTTTTGGCATTGTACAACGTTAATTACCCACCCAACATGTGTAAGCAGATAAGATTAACCCACAACAAGGGAGACGCCTCCACGTGTCAATAAGACGACAAAACTTTCTCTCGTTGAGTGGATCACCCCTTTCGGAGGTCAGGAAGGAACTGGTCCAAGGAGGGTTTTTGGCTTTCCCCTTGCCCTCCTCTTCTGCTTTATTATGCCGTGTATAGTAGCCGGTAAATCCCACCGCCAGTTCCTCCTTCTGTGTTTTTGGGTTTTGAGTTTAACCAAGAGAGCGAGAGAATATTAATTTTAATAATAAATAGAAGGAAAAAAAGAAAAAGAAAGGAAAGCCCATTGGGTGGTTTTGCAGGGAGGTTTCATTTGATGATCATCATCCACACAGGATTCAGATATACAAACTAACCCTTGTCCTTTTCCTTCCTTGCTTATTCTCTGTCGTTCCTCACTCTCTCTCAATGTCCTTCCCTGTCGAAAAGAAAAAGGTTCGATTTTTAATTTGAATAAATTGTAGTTGGTTGGTGGTTTCTTCATTCATTCAATTCAGAGGCCGTCCTTGTGAGAATTTTGGCAGGTGGGTATGTCTTTCTTCTACTTTTGTTTTGCCTAGGCTTGTCTGAAGTTGAAACTGTCTGGAAAAAAAAAAAAAAAAGAGTTCCCTTTTGCTTTGCTTTTTCTGGAGGTAGGGGATCAATCAATCATTTACCAATTTGATCTGGGTCTGGTTTGAAAAATTGTTTCCCCCTTTTGGTACCACGAAAAGTTAGTTTCTTTTCTATCACCATTCTTTATCTCCTTTCCCCTTGTGTGGAATGATTGATAGATCAATAATGTGAAGAAACCATGTAGCTCTCTCTCTCTCTCCCTCCCTGCTCCCACACTCTCCAGTCTCTAATCTCTGATGAATGGTTTGAAGGTTTCTTTTGTCAATTTTGTGGTACTACTTCTCGACAGTGGAATGGTTTTTGTTGGGGTTTTTGGGATCTGACAAATTTACTCAGTATTATAGTATTTGTCTGAGATCTTAATTATGTTACAGTATTAGGTTCCTCTCTGACTGTTTTTTCCCCTTCCCCTCTTTGTTAATTTATTGTTTCTCTTTCATTTGGTTTGTTATTGTGTCAGATTTTTCTATTTTATAAACGGGAGGAGTGATTATTGTCTCATGTGGATTGTATTCTATGTTGGAGCTTGCAGGTTTGAAGGCTGGTGCTTTTCTTTGCTGGTTTCGAAAGGCTTCATCAAAAGTTTCTGATTGCATATATGGGCTGAAGAAAAGCTGTTGTATGTTCCGCCTTTTAAGTTTAAGCTTGATTCCAATTCGTTCGCTGCCACCAATTCATCTATCTTTGAAACCCTTTTCCGTTCTCTCTTTGGGTGCCTTTGGTTGATTATGAATGTGTGCATACATGCTCGAATTTGCATGTCATACTCTCCTGATGATGATGCTAATTCACCCAATCTCTGACGAAAAGTTAGTTGTGGTAGTTCCTGGTTAAAGTGAACTTATGCTAATTCACCAATCTCTCATCATCAATACATCCTTAAAATTTTGGAATGAATGCCACGTATTAATATGTTCTATACTATTAGTTGGAGTTACTGACCACAAGCCGTACATTTTGGTTTTGCAGACGGTTGGTTAGACAGTAAAGCTGGTTTTGTTTTGATTAATGAATTCCTTTCACTATGAATGTGTAAGATATGTCAGTGGAAAGGAGGCTGGAATATGGTTTCGGTGGCTACAGGGTCCCTGTGGTTCCTCGTGCTGCTCGATCATATAGGGTATGCACTGAGTAGAGTTCATGCTGATCTGCTTAATTCTGTTCTAATTGCAAGAGGTCCTAATATAATTCTCAGTTTTTATTTATGCGTTGCTTACAACTGTTTCAGGGCAGAGGATTGACCAGGAAGAAAGGAGATAAAGAGGGCGAGATACGAGCATTTGAAATCTTAGCAAGTGTAGCTGGTAAAATATTGCAGGATGGTGAAGTTTCTTCTGCTGCTTCTGTAAAGGATACAACAAGTAAACTGTGTCTTCAAGGTAATGGTGATGAAGAAACAGAATTGTCTAAACCAGACTCTTCTGTTTGTGGTGGGAAAACTGATCCCTCAGGCTCGGAGACTGGTTTGAATCAAGGCTATCCATTCCATGACTTCTTATCACCACCTCAGGCGACTTCTTCTAGTCACAAGGGAAGCTCAACTTCTTCCGATCACTTGGAGAAGAAGATACATGAAGATGCTGCTGATGATAATTTGTCTCCCAAGGGATGGGAAATGTATCAAGGCCAAAGGGAGAGCCTAGTAGCTCAGGTGAAGCCTGATGAAGTTGAGTGCAAAGTCAAAAGTGCTGAAAGTGGAACTTCGCCGCCTGTTCAAGTTGATTTTGAGGACAAGATGGAAATCGACATGAACATTCCTGCACGGGCTAGTCCCGAGAACAATAATGTGAAGCCATCATCGTCATTATTCAAGAACTGCATTGGTGGCTTAGGTTGTTTCTCTGGACGTTCTGCTGAAACTAAAGTAGAAGTCACTAGAGATGATGATGACGAAAATGCTAGTGGGTGCTCTCAAGATGTGCAGTCATATAAACAGCAACATATATCCTGTAATGGAGTTCAGAAACCCAGGAACTCATCATCAGCATCTGTACTGAAGCATTGGAGGGTAACAGCTGCTAACTCCAAGGTCGGGGGATTTTTCAGAACTGGTAAAAATAATCATCACTTCCTCTACAATTCATTGTTTTGAGATTATAGCTATTTTCTTTTTGGTTCCTTTCTGGGCCTTGTTTGCTTTATGGGTGTTTGTTTCCATGTTGATTTGCAATTGTGGTAATAGGGGTAGTAAGAATTTGAACTCTGATGTTTACTAGATGGGAAGGCATCAACAACCAAAGCAACTTACAATAATAGTGGGAAGTCTTCTTCAAATAATCAGCAAAAAACTCAGAAAGTTATACCTTTCAAGAAACGGAAGTTCTTTGCATGTGATGGTGCATCTGTGTGTGATGACTTATTTACTTCTCCTAACAAAAGAACCAATGATGACAACAGCTGCGGCTCAGGTGCGTTCAATGAATGTCTTTGTTATGAATTTCATTTAACTTATTGACGTAATGTAAATGTCGGTTTCTCTCTCTGTTGCAACATCAGGAACATCATCTTCAGTATCAGGCCAACATACACCTCCAAACTCACGAGACTGTAATGGTAGGAAATGTTTGCTCCGGAAATGAACTTCACTTTTTTATTCCTTAGGGGCTTACATTTCATTTGCTCTCTTTCCCAGTCAAGTTTAGCATCAAATCATTCAAGGTTCCTGAGCTCTTCATCGAGATTCCTGCGACAGCAACTGTTGGCTCATTGAAGGTAAATGATGCTCTCTTCATCCATACTCAAATATTGGATGCAATTTGGACGCAACAAGTTTGCTGCCTCTGCGATTATCTTATTGACACTTTGGTACATGGAACATGTAGAGGACGGTAATGGAGGCAGTCACTGCTATCCTTGGTGATGGACTACACGTTGGCATCCTGGTGCAAGGAAAGAAGGTTAGAGATGACAACAAAACCTTGCTCCAGACTGGGATTTCTCAAGATGACAAGCACCATGGTTTGGGTTTCATATTGGAGCCCAGGCAACATGTTCAAATAGCTTCATCATCACCACCTTCCTGTGCTCAGACGCCCTCCTTCTTAATCAGCCGTTCTCCTGCTGCTGGTGGCCTATCCAGGTCAGCTGCTTATTTCACTGCATGGATCCTTGGCTGCCTGCTTCATTAAGCTAAATTAAAATGTGACTATAGTGTGTTCTTTTTTCCCCACATCTAGCAGGCATACATCTCTGAAGCTACAAGCTGGGGGATCAAGTGGTGTTTCTCCAATTGTTTCCACAGACATGGGATTTGTTGGGAGGAGTGGTGGTGGAAGTGGTGATTCAGGCAGAGCTATTGTCCCTCTTGTTGATGAGCGAGCGTCTGTACCTGAATCAAAAGCTCTGGTGACAGTTCCATCAATTAGAATGGAGGCAATGGCAATGGTGCCCTTCCACAGGAAATCCGGTCAGCCTGAGCTTGGTCAGCGCCGGATGAGAAGACCCTTCTCGGTCTCAGAGGTGGAAGCACTTGTTCAGGCTGTTGAAAAACTTGGAACTGGAAGGTGGGTCTCATCATCTTTTTCAATCCTTCTCTTAGTCCATTTCTTAGGACAAGAAAGGTTAAACAAAGTTTGGTTCTTTTTTCCCAGGTGGCGTGATGTCAAGTTGCGTGCTTTTGATAACGTGCACCATCGAACTTACGTGGATTTAAAGGTGAGAGGGAACTTATTAACACTTTGAACAGCTTCCATTTTCTGTTCTTGATGAATGTAGTCGTAATTTGTTGTCGATTTAAACTTAAAAGGATAAGTGGAAGACATTGGTACATACAGCAAGGATATCCCCACAGCAAAGAAGAGGGGAGCCTGTTCCACAAGAACTTCTGGACCGAGTTCTGGCCGCCCATGCTTACTGGTCGCAGCAGCAGGCCAAACAGCAAGCTAAAGCTACTTCTTGATGTGAAGAGCCCCATACAGGATAAGGGGTGCTGTTGTCAAGTTCATGGTTGATTGTAAATTAGAAATATTATAGAAAGTAAACATAAAACTCTTTGTAGATTAAGATATGGTTTTGTTTATAGGGGGTTCATTTTTTTGTTGGCTTTGCTAACTTAACCCCAAGCTGCCCCTTGAAGGAGGAGGTTTGGACCATTTGTAGATTGAATTTGTATTCATGACAGCAAAGCTTTGTTCCTTTTTTTTGTTGATTTTTTGCAAACTGCAGCAAACACTTTGTTCAGTTTTTGCTCCCTCTGTGAATAAGAAGGGAAAGCGCTAGCTTCTTTTGTTTGTTTAATGTCTGAGAAAGTGGTGCTGTAACGAATTGTACTTCCTTTGCAACTTTCTGATAGTTTGAGGGTTGTAATAATTGGATGATAGCGAAACAAATAGATAGAAAAGGGACTGAAGTGTAAGAGACGAGGAGTCTAGGATGGGTATAAATAATACCACGTGAACCATTACAATCTTTCTCTATCTCTCTCTCTCTCCTCTGTTTCCTTTCTTTTTTATGCCTTCCTGTTCTAGCAGCTTTGGTTAAACACTTAAACTACTGATCGCCATTTCCATATATTCGTCTAGATTCATGGATCCTTTAAAGTTGGGACGTTACAATTTGGTATCAGAGCTTTTTCTCGACAAAATAAAATGAGACAAAAAAGAAGAAGACACGATTATTTTCATTCACAAATCGAATATCAATTGTGTAAACACGATTTGAAGAGGTTAGAGCAAATGAATCATCACACAATCACCATGGATGAGCATATGACTATGACAAGCAATTCACCGTTAATAAAGCTCAATTGCATGAATTGACCACACACTACAATTGGCGAATTTCAATACTCTCCTTGATGGAATTGATGGGCAATTCGATGAAGTCCTGTGAATATCGAACCATAATCATAAAATGAAAATCAACAGTTTTGATTCGTCAAAATTATGCAAATAATAGGTGTGAACGCTGACATATGCTGCTAGTCTTTGCTATATATATAAATTGAGGGTCATATCGTACTTGTAGAACTATAGTTCTTTAGGGTTTAGAAATAGGATTATAATTTGAGATTGGGAAGAACTAAATTGGGGATTTAGGGGTTTAGAAAAAGAAAATGGAGATCGAGGAGAAGAATGGGCGACGACCTTTAAGAATAGGTGATGAATTTGAGAGGTGAGAGATAAGGGTTAGAGAGACATACTTTTCATAGTACTTTTCTGATTAATACTAATATAAACCTAAAGTACACATATATAGAGAAACATAAACTGGAAAAACTTAATAATAATCCTAAATTAAACCAAATGTAATTCGACCCATAATTGGCCGCCTACCCCTAAACTCTAATAATAATATTTCTAACGCGTACCTTGGGTAAAATCAAAGTTATGACATAGCTTTAGTAAAGAAATAATGTGTGGCGACTGCCAATGAGATGTTTACTTCCATCGAGGCCAAACAGAGGAATCAACAAGCTTTCCTGCAGAACCTGGAAACCAAGATTGACACCATAGCTCAGGTTGTCTCTGCTAGAGCTCCTAGTGCAATTCTAGGTCACACAATCCTCAATCCTTGTGACCCGCAAGAGCATTCGAAGGAAATAGAGTTCCGAAGTGGGAAAAAGACTAGAGATATCCCCCACTCTTGAGCCACAAAAGGAGATTTTCCAAGTTCATGGTGCTACTGAAGCAAGTGTACATCAACCTGCCTTTCGTGGAGGCTCTCTCCCAGATGTCGAAGCATGCAAACTTCATGAAGGGCATCTTTACCAACAAGAGGAAGGTAGAATACCTCTCCATTGTTATGCTGAATGAGGAGTGTTATGTCATCACAGAGAAAAAATTGTCAAAGAAACACAAGGATCCATGAAGTTTTACTATCCCTTGCATAATTGGTAATTTGCATATAGGCAAGTTCTTGATAAACTTAGGTGCTATCATAAACGTCATGTTATATTCATTGTTTAAGAAGCTACGCCTAGGTGAACTCAGTGCTACTAGGATGAGTATACAGTATGTTGATCATTCCATTGTGCATCTTAGGGGCATCATAAAGGATCTCCTTGTTAAAGTGGGTACTTTCATATATCATGTTGACTTTGTCATACTTGATATAAATGAGGATGTGGAAGTACCTTTGATTTTGGATAGACCTTTCCTAGCCACCGGCAAATCACTCACTAATGTTAATGACAAGAAACTGATATTGCGGGCTGGGAATGAGCAAGTTACTTATTTATCTCTGAGAATTTGCAACATTCCCGCCTGTACGATGATATAGATTATTGTGATGTGGTTAATAATTTTGAAACAACATTTCCCATCACGAGTGCTCGTACTAATGATTCTCTTGAGCGTTGTCTTTTTCTAGGAGAAGAAGCATCAGAGCAGCCACAGTTTGCAGAGCAGCTGGCAGCACGGGATAGGGAAGTAATCGAGGAGCACGAGAAACTAGTGAAGTCGATCTCCCAATCGGCTTGGATCACCATCTCTCTGGAAGAGCCACCAGAGTTGGAGCTAATGCCCCTCACGAGTCATCTCAAGTATGCATTCCTACCGGAGGGGAATAAATTGTAAGTTATTATCAGCCTGGAACTCACACAAGAGTTGAAGACCAGCTTGGTGGAGTTGCTGAGCAAGCATGAACCATCACTGGCATGAAAGATCACGAATATCCTCCCCTCATTCTACTCTCACAGAATCCTCATGGATGATGTGATCAAGCCAGTGGTGCAACCTTAACTCAGATTGAACCCGAACATGCAGGCCATGTTCATGGTAAAGATTATCAAGTTGCTGGATGTCGAGATTATCTATCTTGTCTTAGATAGTGAGTGGGTCAGTCTCACTCAAGTGGTACCCAAGAAAGGAGGCATGACACTCGTGCCAAATGAGAAAAACGAGTTGATCCCTATGTGCGCAGTGACATGGTGGCGTATGTGCATCGACTACCGCTACCTGAACAATGTCACCAGGAAAGACCATTTCCTGCTACCCTTCATTGACCACATGCTCTAGATGCTTGCTGACCATGAATTTTAATGCTTCTAGATTTCATATCTGGCTATTTCCATTTTCTGATCGCACTAGGGAACCAGGCCAAGATCACCTTCACATGCCCCCTTGGCACTTTTGCATACAGGCGGATCCCGTTCGGGTTGAGCAATGCCCCTACCACGTTTCAGAGATGTATGATGGCCATTTTTGACATGCTGGTGGGGAGATTATGAAAATTTTCAGGGATGACTTCTCAGTTTATTGCGATTCAGAATCTAGAACAAGTACTATGAGTTGGAAGAAATGACATTTCATGGTTCGTGAGGGCATTGTGCTCAGGCACGAGATGTAGAAGAAGGGAATTGAGGTCGACCAGACTAAGAACTCCTAGAATTTGAAATTTCCTCCTTTACTTCTTTGCTTAAGTCCAGTAAAGCAGAATTAGTAGAGAACGAATTGAGTTGTGTTTGGTTTGCTGTGATATTTGTGGAACCTTGATCATTAAATTCATTCCACCACCTTAAAGACTTGTTCCCATGTTCTATACCTTAACCAAGTTACAACCCGATTAAAAGCCCTCCTGACAAGTTAGTGGTGACCTACTAGTTTTGTGACATAGAGATTCTAGGATTGAGTTATAACATGCACATCTTTGCATAAAAAAATGTTATGAACCCAATAGTCGATAGCGAGTGATTCTTTTTCCATATCATAAATCCCATAACCAAAACATCCAAACTAATACAACAACAAAATAAACCAAATTAAAATTTAATCGTTTTGGTTAATTTGTTAACCAGATTAACCAATATAACATCACATGACCATTAAGTGAGAAATTTTCGGTTAATGCATCAATTTATAATTTTTGTGAGGAATAAAATATAACAATCAACACATAGTTATAGTTCACACTTAACATAAATACATGCAACTATTACAATTATCTTATAGTCAATAGAAGTATTCACCTAACAAAAATATATGTCAATGGTATGGGGTTAATGAATTGTTGTGTTCGTGTGAAGTATTAAGTATGTGTATATAATATACGGGACAGGTTACGGTGATTACTACTTTGTAGTAATCACCGTGGTTACTAAGGGTAAATTGGGTATGGAAAAATAAATCATATTAATTAATTTTTTAATAAATTACATTTAAGGTAGTTACAAAAATCTATTAATTAAAAATCTCTCTTTCTCTCACTTCCGTAATCTCCAGCCAGATTTTCTTTCCATATTTTTTCAATCTTTCTGCAAAAAAAAAAAAAAAAACGAAATCAGTACCAATCCATTAGACAAACACTACCACTTTGAAAAATATCAATACCATTGCAGAAATAAATCTATACCATTACACGAAAACTACCATTGCAGAAATAAATTTATACCATTACACGAAAACTACCATTCAAGAAATAAAAACACTACCATTTCACAAAACATCAATACCATCTTAGATTTAATCACTACCAATGCGACAAAATCGATACCAATCCATTACAAAACACTACCATTGCACAAAACACCAATGCCATTCGAGAAATGAAAACACTACCGTTCCACAAAAACACCAATACCAATGCGACAAAAATAATACCATTGCGACAAAATCAATACCAATGCGATAAAAACAATACCATTGCGACAAAAATAATACCAATGCTACAAAAACAATACCATTGCGACAATAATACTACCAATGCTTGGAGTCGATCAATTCAATTGATGACTCTTCCCTTTTCTCTACCCTGCTCTTGCTTTAAGTCGCCAATTTAACTTGGCGGTGAGAAGGTCCACTCGCCGCCTCTCTCTTAACAAACGAAATGGAAGAAAAAAAGGTAGAAGAGAAGATTGACTCGGCAGACGAGGGTGAGCGCGGCGGTGCTAGTGGCTCGCCCGTGGCCGGAGAAAGAGGTGAGAGCGGCGGTGAGGGAGGGAGAAAGTGAGAGAGAACGTAGAAAATTATTTAGGGTTTTGGGTGATTATATAGAAATTCATATTTTAAAAGTAGTAATTAGGTGTGGTTATTATTTTTGTTCCAAAACTATCCCTAATTAATCCTGATGGTCAATTAAAAAATGATGAGAATAAAGGGTGGAGATATAGGTAGCCACCGTGGCTACTAAAAAATTACTAACCATGCTAACGCATTCCTATAATATACATTAGGTATATAGCTAATTACTTAACTTATTAATGTGGTTTGATTGGTTAGTAGAATCGGAAACCAAATCATCTAAACCAAACAAATTAAAATTTTTAACCAAACCAATTGTCCAAACTAACAAAACTAAATTATCTAAATACTATTAGTTTGGTTTGAACACCCTACTGGCTGACCTACGCGGACGGCGGACGACAAGTCTTTCCCTATTCTGTCCAGTGTCCACCGTCGAACTTCTGCCAAACACCATCAGCTGAAAGCGAGGGATGAGTTTGGGCTTTTCGGCCCTAAGATGACTGCGACGGAGAGTGGTGACGGCGTTCATTTTCCCTACGTGTCGATTTGTCATTGGCATAAAACCTTTGTAAATTTTTTACCTGTACAATTTTCATCCATCACCATCCCACGATCTGGTCTGGTTGTTGTTGTTAAAGCATATTTATTTTTGAAGCCGATGAGATCTGCGGTCCTGATCTTTCCGTTTACTAAAACAACGATAATAGGACGGAAGTCACCGTCTGCTCACTTCTTTGACTTCTTCTTCCCTCTTCCCTTCCACTCGGCCTCTCTCTCCGTTTTAAAGCCTCCCCCTCCACCCTTTGTGTTTCTTTTTTCTCCTTCACTCTCTCCCTCTCTCTCTGTTTCTTGGCTTCTCGGCTGGTTCTGGTATTGGCCGACTTTCGGGCTTCCGGCCAGGTAACCAGCTCTACTTTCTACTGTTTTCTGCCGAAAGTTTTGATCTTTTTGCCTTTCTACTTGCTGTTGTGACTGGAAATGAAATGGGTCATCTGCTGATTTGTTGTTGACTTTGGATTTCTTTTGCTTTAAAATAATGGCGCTTTCGTTTTGTGAGAGTTCGAATCAATCTGCCTGGAAATTTTGTGTCTTTGTTGTTGGCTGCTGCCGAGAAATCGAAAATATCATCAGCGTTTGAATAGACTGTTGCTTCTTTTCACATTAGACTCTGTTCACACGAAATTTTTAGCTGCCGCGCGCTGGTCAGCCGCCATTTCTGGGGCTCGCGAGTTAGACATTGAAGTTAATTTTTGATTTCTTACGGTTTCCTGAGCTTTTTCTGTTCTTTAAATTTCCAGGGTATCGAGAGATTGCGGTTAGAGGGGGTAGTTAAGGAGCAAGCATGGATCATCGGTTGAGCAGATTCTCCATTCCAATAGACGAAGCCCAATTGAGAGAGCAGCAAATCTCTATTCATCCAAATCCAAACCTCCTTCCCAGCCAAAGAACTAACTTGGTGGATCACAACAACAACAACAACTTCAGTAGAGGTTTCCATCATGACTACATCGCATCTCATTCTAACCCTTCCTCCAATGAAACCTCCAAATCCACTGTAACTCGAGAAGAAGAATACCCAGAAGAAGAAGAAGACTGCGATTTTTCAGATGCAGTCTTGACCTACATAAGCCAGATGCTTATGGAAGAAGAAATGGAAGACAAGCCATGTATGCTTCAAGACTCATTAGATCTTCAGGCAGCTGAGAAATCTTTCTATGATGTCCTAGGCCAGAAGTACCCACCTTCACCTGAGCCTAACAACCACCCATCTGATGATGTTATTAGCTACTACTTAAATGCTAATCCTAGTTGGGATTGCAATCAGACTGACTATGATCATCACTTTCAACCTATTAATGCTTCCACCACCATTTCTCAATCTTCTCATACTTCTTCCAATAATAGTGTTGTTACAAGCACAGATGGGCTGGTGGACTCTCCCAGCAGCACGTTTAAGTTCCCTGATTTCAGCAGTGAGAGCCAGTCCATTTCGCAGTTCAACAAAGGTGTTGAAGAAGCTAACAAATTTCTCCCAACTTCCAACAATCTGCTTCTGAATATTGAGACCAATAGGTTGCTGAATCAGCAGCTGCCAAAGCATACGAAGAGGGATGAATTGCAGATGGAATCTTTACTTTGTGGGTCAAGAGGAAAGAAGAACACTGTAAGGGATGATGTACCAATTGAAGAAGGGAGGAGCACAAAGTTTTTGGCTGTCTATAAAGAATCCGATTTGCCACCAGATGTGTTCGACAGCGTGTTGCTTTGCAGCGTAGGCAAAGGCAAGGAAGACTTGACAGCACTTCGCGATTCATTGAAGAGCGCCACAATAAAGAACAAGCAGAGTGGACAGCTGAAGACATTCCAACACGGCAAAGGTAGTCGTGGAAAGAAAAGCAGCACCAGCACCAGTGGGAAGAAGAAGGAAGTTGTGGACTTGAGAACACTCCTCATCAGTTGTGCCCAAGCTGTTGCTGCTGATGATGTGTGGAATGCAAGTCAACTGCTGAAGCAAATTAGGTTGCATTCCTCACCCTTTGGCGATGCGAACCAGCGACTTGCTCACTGTTTCGCTGATGGACTTGAGGCACGCCTGGCTGGAACTGGCAGCCAGATCTACAAGGGCCACATCAACAAGAAAACCTGTGCTGCTGATGTGTTGAAAGCTTACCATCTTTTCCTTGCTGCTTGCCCTTTCAGAAAGCTTTCTAATTTCGTCTCCAACAAGACCATAAGGATTGCTTCGGGGGATGCAATGCAGGTCCACGTCATCGACTTCGGAGTTTTGTACGGTTTCCAGTGGCCAACCTTAATTCAACGGGTGTCGTGGAGACCGGGTGGTCCACCAAAGCTTCGTATTACTGGGATAGAGTTTCCACAGCCTGGCTTTCGGCCAGCAGAGCGAGTAGAAGACACGGGACGTCGCCTGGCAGAATATGCGGCAAAGTTCAAGGTGCCATTCGAGTACAATGCAATTGCAAAGAAATGGGAGAATGTACGGCTCGAGGATCTCAAGATTGAAAGAGACGAATATGTGGTTGTGAATTGCTTGTACCGGTCGAAGAACGTGTTGGATGAGACAGTGTCAGTGGATAGTCCAAGGAACATTGTCCTAAGGTTGATAAAGAAGATAAACCCTGATATTTTCATCCACGGGGTCATCAATGGGGCATTCAATGCTCCATTCTTCGTGACAAGATTCAGGGAGGCGTTGTTTCATTTCTCTGCAATGTTTGATATGCTTGAAGCTGTTGTGCCACGCGAAGATCAGGAGAGGATGCTGTTGGAGAAAGAGATATTTGGGAGGGAGGCGTTGAATGTGATTGCTTGTGAAGGGTGGGAAAGAGTGGAGAGGCCGGAAACATACAAGCAGTGGCAAGTTCGTTGCTTGAGGGCTGGTTTTGAGCAGATTGGTTTCAATAGAGAGATCATGAAGGAAGCGAATGCGAAAGTTAAGGAACTTTACCATAAGGATTTTTTGATCGACGAGGATAGCAAGTGGTTGCTGCAAGGGTGGAAAGGTCGAATAATTTATGCGCTTTCTGCTTGGAAGCCTTCTCTTAGCTATGGTGCTTGACCGAGCGTTGGATACTCGAAAAGCTTGACTTGCATAATCAGAACTTACATGCTACTTCTACAGATGATGTGATATGACCTTTTTCTGCTAATTTGGTAGACCCCCAATCTTTTTGTTTCTTTTCTTTTTCCTGGGAATACGGTTATAAGCAGTCTGGAAACTAGAGTAGAGCAGAATGATGCACATAGTCACTTGTAATGTACTATTGATTGCTTTTGGTAGGTGACAAGCTGTTGTATAATGTAACCTTTTGATGGGTGACAAGTTTTGTGATTGCTTTTTTGTATGCAGTTTCAAAGTTTGTTGAGAACACTCCTCTTATCGCTATATACTTCTGGGAAAGGGTCATCAGCTGGCAGTTCTTGACAGCTTTTGTTTATATGGGATGGAAGCTCTGTAAGCTTGTGGTCATTTGGGTTTACCCAGCAGCTAATTTACCAGATTGGGGTTACTGGGCCTTTTGGTTTTAACCAGAAGCTAATTTTACCAGATTTGAGTACTATGAGATTGCCCCTTCAGTCCTAGGGAGACAAAACTTAGTACTTCCCCAAAAGAAGCATTGAACAACCTTCTTTTCTGACTCGAGCTGACTTGCTGTGTATTTACTTATGAAAATGAAATGCTGCATTCCTTCCAGTTTGGTTGATGCATTTCAAAAGACCATAAAGTCCAAGGGGGAAGTGGCCGTTGCCAAGAAAATCACAAGTAGCTGATGTGTTTAGATACATCGAGGGCCAGGTAAACTCACTCATTTCTTCCCTTCTCCTCCAAAAATGTCTGTTTATGGGGCATAGTATGTCTGTTCCTTTTAGTGGGTTGATATGACTCCAATACACGAGCCACTGTTCAGAGATGGGAGTTCATATGACTAAGGTTGAGCAGCTGTTCCCTTCTACAATCATTCTACAAAGTAGCCTTTCAAGAGCCATCTTAACAGCTTTGGGTTAAGGTTGAGCCATGTGCCTGGGGAAAGTTGCAGACTTTCGGCACAAATGGTGGGGGATTAAATTAAATGTTGCAGGTAAATAAATCCCACTGTATGGAAAGGACAAATGAGCTGTGTGCAGGATTGTGGAGTTTACTGTGTTAAATTAACCTATCAGAGAGCACAGATGTGTGGAGTTTCCAGAACAGTCTCAAAGTAGTGGTCCTTAATTCCTTATGCGAAAATCCCCCACGAATACATGATTTGGTTGGTGGATTAAAGAAGACCATCGCCTGCTCCATCACATGCACATTGAGATCATTGGCTAACTTTCCCGAGAACCAATCAACCATTTTCTGCAGTTCTTTACAGAGCCGAGTGCACGTTGATACATCAGCACGCCTGATTCCCTATGTAAATAAACAAATAAAGAAAGGGAAAACTAACGAGTAACGAGTAATGGTCCTGAACTGAACTGACTACATGCTTAACTCAGAACTATGATAGCGATGCAAACTGGAAACCTTTTCATTCTTTGGGAGGAGGTTCTTCCCCAAACCACCTTGGAGGATCAAAACCAGACCCGCCTGTAAGTAGCCAGAAAAAGAAAAAGAAGGTTAAGGTTGAATTGGAAAACGAAGGAATTCCCACAGAGAAGCAGGAAATTGCTGGTTAGTAAGACTGGACTGGAGTGCTACCGAGAGGATTGCAGCGACAGATACGCCAGGTGGTCAAGACGGTGCCTTTGGCGAATCCGTACTTCTTATAAGCTTCCATGGAATACTCGCTGCACGTCGGCACATATCGGCAACTCCTCGGCAGCACCGGCGATATTTCCCCTGTTCGTTCAAAATGAAACACTCAATTGCTTCTTTCTTATCTTGCTCCGAACAAATTTCAATATGGGCTTCGGTTTTTCAAAGGTGCTTACTTTTGTAGAATCTCAACACTGACAAAGCAGCCTTAACTCCTAAATTGTACTCGTCCTCCTCTGATTGACGAAAAATGAACAAGTTAGAGGATGGGTTTTAGTCGAAGCTCGGATTTTATGACAAACCCACGTCGGAAAGGTACCTTCTTGTACATTATTTCGGTCGGAGTCGGCGCCGCCGCGAACGAGGACCGAGCTCCGGCGACTGCCCTTTTCTGTTGGGGTTTTGATGGAAATGGGTAAGCCCCGGCGAGTGCCTCCGACTGTCAGTGATTTCTTGACGGGACGGAAAGACGGTGACTCGGATTGAAACCACGCGATTTCTGTTGGAGAGAAGAGTCTCTGGAAGTTCGACGGAAGAACAACCGCCATGGCCGACTAAATTTTTTTGAGCGAAGGCTGCGGATAGATCTTTCTATGAAACGGCAGGCGCAAGTTGTTTCGTTTATTGCTGGCGTGTGGTTTTCAAACGGCGTCGTTTTCTACAGTCAAAACTCAGCATTGCAGATCCCATAAACCAAAATACCAAATTGTCACAGCATCCAAACCACATTACTCGTCTCACTCAAGTCTCCCTCTTCTTTAAGCAAAGTCAACTAGAGAACAAGCCTTACAAATTCATGGGTGCCACAAGCAGTTCATTTACGTAACGAAACGCAGAGAAAAGATGGTATTCCTTTCAAGGCTATCTTCAGAAACGGGTGGTGATCTGGGAGAAGAGAGCCTTGAAGTCGGTGGTCGGGGTGCCTGTTCCCTCTGGCTTTGAGGCTAGATCAAATGCCTTGAACTTAGATTCCTCGTACTGGAGTGCCTGTGTTTCAAGGGAGCAAGATGCGTATAAGAATCCTACAAGGTCCATCACACTTCAACTCGAACAACTAGACCTAGTCTAATCGATTCGGTTGGTAGTAGTACCTGAAGGCAGACTTCAGCAACATCAGGCCTTGCAATGGTCCTTGTCTCGGTCTGAAGAAGCTCATCATCCTTCCCCACCAGCAGCTCACGGATTCCTCCTTTGTCTTGCAGGCCTCCAGCCCTGAATCACCAGATATCATCGGACAATATGATTCAGAAACGATATTCTACTTCACAGTGAGACAAAACTTGCACCGACATGCAATTAGGGATGGCAATGGGGCGGGTTTGGGGCGGGTTTGCCTAAACCATCCCCATCCCCATCTTCAAATACCCAAACCCATACCCGCCCCATACCCATGCGGGGGAATGTTTTGCAAACCCATCCCCATACCCGTGGGTTTCGGGTACCCATGGGTAATACCCATCCCCGTACATCCAACATTATTATACCTAAAACTTACAAGAAAAGTTTTAATTATAACCATAAACAAACCTATTATATCACGAAGTCAACAAAACACGATCATTTTCTAAATACGATTCAAAGAATATGATCCTAAAACATCCATTAATACATAATATAGACTATAATATTTTTTAAATTATTATGCTCTAACTCTTGATACATTTACTAAGTAATAATTAACTAACATAATTTTGTTGACAAGGGGGAAAGTGAAAAAGTGGAAGGAGAATTGAGGGAAATGAATTAGGTTTTGATTAAGGTGGTTACTCAATTGCATTTCTACTATTTATTTTCTCGAGTTATCATCATCATCATTGATAGATTACAATTTAATCCACGTATTTTTTTGATATGTGAAGAAATTCTCTTGGTGGGGCGGGTATGGGTATGGGTATGGGGCGGGGGAGGCTAAAACCATACCCGCCCCATACCCATCAAACCTTTTGCGGGTTTTACCCATACCCGGTCAAAGCGGGGATTCCCCGCGTTGACTGGGTATGGGGCGGTCGGGTACCCGCGGCCATGGGTTTGATTGCCATCCCTACATGCAATGCTGTGTACTAATTAACAAAAAGCAGAGTCAGTCACCTTATAATTGTGTAAGGGAGACCAGAATCAGCCAGATACTGCTCAGCCTTTCTCTTCCACACCTAAAATATATGGAAACATTGATATCTAAGTAGGATTTAGCAGGAATCAAATCCCCGCCCGCACAGAAGAACCACAAAAGCATGATCATGAAAGTCTGAAATAGAGATGGATGAACAAACCAATATGTTGCCATTGCCCAAGCTGTTTAATGGGTTACTTAAGTTTGTTCCCCCCATAGAGCCAACCAACACAACGTGCTTCACTCCAGCAGCCTTGGCTGTTTCACATGCCATTCATCCAATTAGTTAAACACTGAAAATTCGACTTACACTCACTGAAGAAGATAAAAGAGAACACAGTCTCACCTGCATCAATTTGATTCTTCTGTCCAATCCAGTCAACCTAACATGATTACAATGCAACCCAGCTCAATCGTAGTTCATCAAGAGCACAAGATACACATTACAATCAAGAATTGAGCTCTCACCTGTTCAGGAAAGCAACCTTCTTCGTAGTAGAACTCAGGCCTTTCGCCTTTGGACGGATCAAACCCAGGTTTCATCTTTGGCACAGCACTGGTCAGAATTATGAGCGCATCGACTCCTTGGATGGCCGGAGCAATGCTGTCAGCATCCCTTATGTCCCCGACATAAACATCCTCAGCTCCCCCGATTTTGTCCTTGCTCTCTGGAGTCCGGACCAAACCCTTTGCAGTGAACTGGTCTGACCTCTCTTTCAGTTTCTTGTAAACAATCGAACCTGCAAACCATTGTAGACACTTTATCAAGTTCCAATCAGAAAAAAGACTTGAGCATCACTAGAGCACAATCCATAATCAGATGATCCCAAGAAATACTAATTAATTAATCGATCATGCAAAAATTGAAACTTGAAGTAAAACCCACTTAACATGATCAGCCCTTAAACCCTGTACACCATCATCAATCTTCAACATCTCCACAAAGATTCCTCAAACTTCCAGCATATACCCAAACCCACAAATCCTAAAATTCTCCTCCTATTTCCGTTCTACTTCGCAAATGCTCTACCAGAACCACGATCTTCTCCGTCCGCTCAATCAACTCAATTGACATGGCAGATAGCGAGAGGGGAGAGTGGGAAGGAAGAAGTGATCATACCAGTTCTGCCACCAGCTCCAGTGACGAGGACGGTGGGCTTGGGAGGCAAACCGGCCATTGATGCAGACGTGACACTCAATCTCCTCCTGAAAACCCTTGCACTATTATCGTCTCTCCTCGCCCCCGATGGAGAAGAAGTAGACAGAGAGCGAGAGAGCACGACTGCAGAAGATTCTCGAATGCAGAAGGAACGACTGGAAATGGGAAGGGGCAACAATGAGGCCACGCCACCGAGTTGATGATATCGACTCGAGGCTGGGGAGACCAGGTTGAGACACGTCATCAACGCGGACACTGTTTATGGTTTCGGTTACAATGTTGTTTTCATTCGGCCGCAGCAGAATCTCACACCTCCCCGCCTTGAATGCGCGCCCCTCCCGTAGCCGTTGAATCGCTGCGAGGTGCAGTTGGGTTGTTGAAGTTGAAGCGTTTGATGTTTGATTGTTTTCCCTTATCCTGATGCCATTTTTTTCTCCATCTTATCTTCGACTAATTTTGGGATGGCTCTCGCTGCGGGCAATGGTCTTTTTCTGTACGATGTGGGTTGGGCTGGGGCTCCTCTGTTATAGTTGCAGGCTGAAGGCTCAGCGATTCTAGCCCAACTTGAACCTGGGAAGATCCATCTTCTTATGGATTTGGGGCGTTTTGTTACGAGTCCATCGACAACAAACAGGCACGATTTGCAATCCATTTCGCGCTTTCAAACTTGGTTCGTTGCTCTGGGGTTTAGGTTTGGACCCACCAATCCACCCAAATTCACCCACTCGGTTAGTTGCTCCTCGTTTATATAAGCGAGCGTGTGTTTCTACATCTACAGTTGAAAATAAAAACGTCACCTTCATTTTAAATTTCGTGGTTTGAGGGAGGTTCTAGGAAGGTCTATTTAATAATTGCATTCTAGGGAGGTTCTAGGAAGCTTGAAATTTACAGAAACTGCAAACTTCCTGTTTGAACCTAACCGAGTGTAGGAGTGAGGTTCGGGAAAGAAAGTGGGTCAAGGAGAGTAAGCAATGGAAAATCAATTATATAACGTCGAGCCAAGATCTGGAAGGTTGAGAGAATTGGTGTTTTAGAGAGAGAAGTTGATGTAGGTAGAGATAGAATGTCCAAAAATGCGATCTCCACCACCCACCGTAGTAAATGCCGTATTTATAGGCTACATGGTGGTGGGTGAGTGGTTGGGTTACATGAGAGTACAGTGATGTGACTACTGACACATAGGGGATTTAGGCCATGCCTCTACCTAGGACACGACAGAGACTTATGTAGGGTTGTACTTGGGACCTTGATGTGACTGCTCCTCGGGAATTGCGACGACGCTTTCACCGTCTCCTTAGTCCGGTCTACGCTTTGATCCTCCCGCGTGCGCGTGATCGTGGCGCGTCCAAGAGCTTCGCGCCGGGAAATGCCGAGCGCCGCGCTAAAAGGACTGTTCGCGTTGGTCCGCACCGGGACTTCGTAGTGAGGCGCGCTGGGTGTCTTTGGTGGCGGCGCTTTCTCCTGGCGCGGCTAGATCCGAGTCACCTACCCAACAATTGCCCCCCATCAGGGGGTGTTCTGTGAATACCGCCTGTTCATGTCTTCGCTTGATTGACTCGGAGCCGCGTGATCTCCGTGGGGCTCCTTGCGCTTGAAGCGCGGATCGTTTGGGCTACGCGCGACTGGGGTTGGTTTTGGGGTGCGTTATTTGACGCGCGGCGTTCGCGCTTGATGCCATACTGACCGCGTGATTGCTTCGCTTTTTCTTGTGCGCGACTGGAGTTGGGGCTTGGGATGTGTTTGTGTCATGCCCCCCAGGACGCGCTTGCGCTTGATGCTATACTGACCGCGTGATTGCTTCGCTTTTTCTTGTGCGCGACTGGAGTTGGGCTTGGGATGTGTTTTTTCTTCCTCGCGGGTGTGTCATGCCCCCCAGGCGGTGCGCGGCACTTGTGGCGTCATCGACTATTGATTATGATGGTAGGTGTCCACGTGTAACTGTGTGAGTGGGCTACTTGGGCGGGGATTTTTTGAATTTCGAAAAGATTTTGTTGGATCTGACGGTTAAAGATCCCTATGTAACTTTAACCTTTCGTTTTCCCCTGGCCGCCTTTGACCCTTCGTTTTCCCTTGGGGGATTATAAATACGGGGCTGCTGTGGTGGAGTTGGAACTCATTTGCTCTTTCTTCTCTGTCGTCTGTCTCTCCGATCATCTTTTCTCAGAGATTCCTCTCCTTCTTCTACAACCTCAATCCTCTCTTACTGTTGCTAAAGCTCGATACATCGCTATGGCTTCTATCAACGTCAACGAGGAAGAGGTCGTGCGAGGCGAAGAAGGTAATCTCTCCCCTCTTTCGAACACTTCTACTGGTTGTTCCGGCGATGGACACGGCGGCTCCGGCGATGGAAACGGCGGCTCCGGTGACGGGGCTGGCCGTGGTAGCGACGGGGTTTCGGAGACACCGTCGTTCGACGGCGAGTCGGAGAATAGACTCGGCGGCTCTTCTGAGATGGGTTTGGTTGGCTCCGGGAGTGGGCAAGCGGTGCAAGGAGGTCGGGGAGTGTCGATAATACGACGAGACCATGGCCGTCCGACCGAGGTTGTTGCCGATGAAGCACGCGAGGAATCTGGTGCGCAATCCGAGACGCGCGATGTTGTGCGTGTCTCGGAGGCCATGGCTCGGTTAGGGTTGCGCGGGGTTGGCGCCGCTTATAGGGTTATCGAGTGGGCCGAAATGTGGGGCGATCAACCGGCGCCCCACGACAACCTCAAGCGCGGGCCCGAGCACGCCTCCATCTACGACGTTGATGACGTGGCGTAGATAGTCCGCGGATTGGGCTTGCCTCCCCATTGGGAGTACGCTGCGCCATCTAAGCGCAGCATGGTGGGCAACTGCCCCCCAGGGTGGTTTGGCGTTTATGCGGAGTATTGGGTGATGGGGTTCAAGTTCCCCATCGACCCGCTCTTGTGCGCTCTGTATAAGCGCCTTAACTGCTCTGTTGGGCGGCTTTCGCCGTCCGTCATCATGCACGCGAGCTGTCTTCGGCTCGCGTGCAAAAGGCTCAACATTCAACCAACCTACGGCCTGTTCCGGAAGATCTACAAGATCAAAGAGCCAACGTTGAGGAGTGACTGTCTCTCCATCAAGCGTCGCGACAACCGTCCCGAGGGCTTTGTATATGGATCGCCCAAGTTGAAGAAGACTTGGTTTGAGCGGTTTTTTTACGTCAAGCCCACTCCCGGGGAATGAGCTAGTGGGCCGATGGATGAGCCAACTGCCTGGAAGAAGGGGAGTACGTCTGGGTACGAGGCAGATGTCGGCCACTATGACGGGCTCAATGAAGAATACGAGGCGTGCATGCCTCATCGGATTAACCTATATACGGGGGGAGTCCGCGAGGCTTGTTTGGAGGAGCTGTTTGGAGATGGTTAGTTGCATTTCTTTTCGTTTGTATTCTATCTTATTAACCGCTTTCTTACGATTTATTGGTGCAGGCGTTGACTTCTCCAGTCTTGTCAGCATGATATTGGTTGACGACGTCGTGAAGGCGCCTCGCGGCGACAAGAAGAAGAAGAAGGCTGGTGCCGCGAGGCCTTCGAAGCGGAAGGAGATTGAGCAACCGCAGGCTGCCGAAAAGCCTCGCAAGGCGGCTCGTCTGACGGAACCGGCGCCACAAACGTCGGCGGCGGCGCGTCAGTTGTCTCTGGCACTTTCGGAGCCAGAGGTGCCAGTGACCAGGTCATCTCGACTTGATAGAGAAGTCGGCGGCAGTTCGTCGGGGGCAACCATCCAGCAAAGGTTGCCCGAAATGGCTGGGTTTGGGGGTACCTCTTCCGCTACTCCACCTTCCGCTACTCCACCTGCCACTGCTGCCGCCGCCACCACTGGCATCAACTATTTCCGCGACGTGCGGATTCATACCGGGGCGGCGTGTAATCTGGCGTCTGCAAACACGGCCCTTCGTGCGCTCGGGCCCGTCCTCATCATCCCACCGCGATTGGAGAAGTCCGATCCCCTTCATGACCTGGCCCAGGTCCATGTCGCGGTAAGATCGGGTCGATCCTCTCATTGTCTTTCTTTTTTTTTTATTTTCCTGCTATTTGCTAAGGTTCTTGGCGTTTTGGTTGTAGGTTTTGTTGGCGACCTTTAGGGCTCAACAAGAGCGCGCCTCGCAACGCGCTAAGATGAAGGCCAGCGAGGCGCAGATCGTCCAGCTGGAAGGGAAGGTCCTTGGGGCGAACAATCGTGCCGATTTGGCGACGACCAAAGCCAATGAGGCAATGGAGGAGCTCGGCGTTTTGCAGAGCAAGTTAGCCGCCGATGTTGAGGCGGCTAAGGAGCAAGTGCGAACCGAAGAGTGCTCCACCATCCGAGAGCAGCTGGCGGCATCCTTTGCCGAAAAACTGAAGCAAGCTCGCGATGAGCTTAAGAAGGAAAAGGACGATCTGGTCCGCCTTCACAATATCGCGAAGGCGGAAGCTGTTCGCGCGGCCGAGGTTGCGGCCGTTCGTCAGTTCAAGTCTTCCCCTTCTTTTGGGAAGATTTTGGCGGACGCCATGACTAAGGCCGTGATGGCGGTCGGGAAGAAGGTTCGTCCGGAGAACCCAGGGGTGCGCTGGGATACGCGCGAGATGGTTCAACATGTTAAAATGTGGATAGGTCAGAAGCGGCCCCTGGAGTCTGACTCCGAGTCGGGGGAGGAGGATGGCGAGGACGAGGAGGACGAGGAGGTGGTCGTCGAAGCGGAAAAGCGCCTGGACAGGGAGGAGCGTCACGAAGAGGAGAGAGCTGAAGGCGCGAAGAGGGATGGCGAGGTCGCCGATGATGATGAAGATGAAGAGGAAGAGGAAGAGCGCCCCTTGCTGCGCCGCAAGACTAGCCAGGATAGCGAACAACCTAACACTGCCGATGTTTAAATGTTAGTGCTGGAGTGTTTTCCCTTTTTTGAACTTGTGAACTTTGTACTTTGTTTTCCCTTTTAAGTGTGGTCGCGAACTATGTTGGTGCTCCCGTTTCGATTGAATTCAAATAGTCGTCACTTGGGATATTTACTTGCTTTGATCCTTGGAGAAATGTGTGCGTGTGCACCCGTGTCCATTCTAATTGCTACTGTTTTGTTCTTTCGAACTGAGTGTCCGCGAGTGGCTCGTGGCCGCTGTTATTGTTTTGTTCTTTCGAACCGAGTATGCGCGAATGGTTTGTGCCCATTGCTATCGTTTGTTCTTTCGAACCGAGTGTGCGCGAATGATTTGTGCCCATTGCTATTGTTTTGTTTTTTCGAACCGAGTGTGCGCGAATGGTTCGTGCCCATTGCTATTGTTTTGTTCTTTCGAACCGAGTGTGCGCGAATGGTTGGTGCCCATTGCTATTGTTTTGTTCTTTCAAACCGAGTATGCGCGAATGGTTTGTGCCCATTGCTATTGTTTTGTTCTTTCGAACCGAGTGTGCGCGAATGGTTTGTGCCCATTGCTATTGTTTTGTTCTTTCGAACCGAGTGTGCGCGAATGGTTTGTGCCCATTGCTATTGTTTTGTTCTTTCGAACCGAGTGTGCGCGAATGGTTTGTGCCCATTGCTATTGTTTTGTTCCGGGAAACTGAATATTTCATTAATCTGCGTGCATACACACTTTGT